TTCTCTCATGTGGAATATTCTGAACACCGAGCAGATCAATGACCTAGCTGAATACCGAGATACTCCACAAGGACGCAACAACTACTCTTAGCAATTTTTCGCACATAACTCATGGAATATTTCGAGGATAGCGCATCTGAAATATGAGGAAATGCTGTTGCAACAATCTTTGATGAACAATGACCGAATTTCTACACCTATCCAATCGGGACCGGATCACTGTTTAAGGGCAGTCCCCTGATTGATCGCTACCCCGTTCCTGAAAACTTTATCTTTGTTTGTTCGATAAAAAGCAGGCAAAAAGGGGAAAAGGAAACCGCTGTTCTGGAAATCATTTAATATAAACTTCAAACAAACCGAGAACCCAGTTAAGTCAGGTTGAACAAGATTAAGTAAGAAAAGAAAAGCTAGGTGATATGAATCAACCAGTGACGAGGCACACATACCGAGATCATCTATCCGAAAACCGAATTCATCAAAGTAGCGATCGGACAGGGGCGACTGACTGGCACGATCTTCAACCGTTTCGATGGATTCGTGCTCGTAGACCACAGACGGTTTGAGCGAGGGAACCAGGGCACAAAAAGAGACAATTTTTTTCAACGCTTTCGATCTGTCTTTAATTTGCCCGCGTTCGGGCTCAGAGCTGATCATCACGGTGGAATCAGTCGGCGAAACACCGTTCACTTCTGGACCGTCTAGTGTGATATCATCCATATCGGGGAGTGACTGATTGATCAATCCTAGTAAATATAACAGAGGAATGAAGATCAGGGAAATATAAATAACATATAAAGTCACAACAGCTGTTAGAGAGGGAGAGCACCAAAAGTTATGGAGACAGTCAGCCAAATACGAGTACTTTCAACGATAAGAGATGTGAAAAGTCCATTTTTAAGGGAGATTATATACATATATGGCTTGCAGACAAACACAGGGCCAACACCAAAACAATAATAACAATAGCAGCAACGGGAGAGGGTTTTGGGATACAGAACACAGTAAAAAAAGACAGAGTTATTAAAATGGAAAGTTACAGATAAATGGGATAACAAACGTCTTGCGTGTTTCATCGTACACCGTTCTGTGCCATATCTTTTAGCGTCTCTAACCAACGACAATTCTCATCCCTTGGGCTCCAACCTGGAAGGCGCACCAACTGAAGCTAGCTTCTTCATACCTCCACGCCATGTCATGGTCTGACGGCCGCGGAGTTTCTTTCAGCCTTGCCCGGCACGTGCAAAGAGAGCACGGAAAGGTAGTCGATGGACAGACAGACGCAATACGTGAACAAGCCATCGGAGGCAGTATAGAGCGATTACTTCTGTTAAAGAACGACTATCCACACCCAGCACACGACGGTAAACCTCGTCAT